GCCTGACGGGTCAGGAGGAGTTGCCGTGGTCCTTCTCGGCGGCTCTCGAACCTCCGGGGTTCGATCCCTGAGCGACCGATAGAGAATGGCCGGTTCCATAGAGGGCCCGCGACATATATCATAGTCAAACTGCGGCACCCAACAGGATTCTGGAGGAGAGTCCCATGTGGAGAATCCAGCGTTGCTAGGTTGGGACATCCGAACCAACGAGATGATCGCTCCATGCGGGGGGACTGGGAGCTGTGTGCCGTACGGGAAGACCCGGCCGCAGTGGTGAACCCCAAATGCTCCTTTAAGGAAGAAGTCGCCCCCAAATGCCTCGGCTGCTTGCTGTGCAATAAATGCCCAGTCAAACCCTGGTGCTACAACTGCCACGACCGTGCCCCTGCCTCGGAAGTGCAGTAGCCAGAAAGGGGTGGGCGGCGCCACACCAGATGGGAGGTGCAACAGATGTCCCACACATTTAACCGTACGAGGAGTGGTCCAGACAAAGTCGCCCTCGGCGGCTACCCCGCACTGCGTGAGGGCAACCCAGCCCGCTAACTGGGTAGGGTCAGGGTTGTCTGAATATGGCAGTTCAAGAGGTGCACAGAGAGTATGTGTCCAAACACGCATTATCGATGGGGGCTGTGCAGGTTGTGTGCCCCAGACCGGTCCTGACGTCGCCTGGTCTCGGACGGCAAGAGTGGCCGATGGTCCGGGAACCAAGGGCATTCCACCGTCCCCGAAGCTCCACAGTAGCACCAACAAGAGTTGCCGTCGCATAGGGCCGACTCCGCTAAGGGACGTAACAGTATTGGCGGTGCCGATGGCAACTTCGGCCAGGACAAGCCCTCCAGCAGTGAGGTATCCGGTGACCCGGGAGAGAGGCCCTCCGATATACGCGCGAGCCCCTTGAGGTAACGTGTGCATAGTAGCAACCTCTGAAGAGGTAATGAGCCCAGCGACCTGACCATGTGAGTTCAAGGTGACAGGGATTCTATCGGCATCCTCATACCAGAGAGCAACCGGCCGTAACAGTTCCCTAGCTAAACCATCTCGCACAATCCACCATATGATGCCTCCCACCGGGATGGAGAGCACCTCAACAATAGATGCCTGAGAGTCGAAGGCAACGTGTAACCTATGCTCAGCAGCGCGATGGCCGGCCGCGGCTAGCAGGTATGCAAACTGCCCCGTTGTGACTCGTTTGGGAACCTCGAAAAGAGTAGGCCCCCCAAGCGGAGTCCAAACGATCACTTGGGCAGTATCGAAAGGAGCGAATTGTGTCACGTGGCGCCGTAGCTCCTCAACAGAAGTGGCAAAGTGCGTGTGGCGACACGCGAGGTCGTGGCACCATGATTGACAAGTGGCGACTTCATCGCCAGACTCCAACATAATCACAGAGGAGTTCGAGTCGGAGTCGGGAGGAGAGGGCGGTCCTCGATTGCGTGCGGACCATGCAGGTACCCCGAAAGAGATGAGGAAGGCCCCGAGATGCAATCTTTGTAAACCCCGCACACTCAACAAGGCCCCAATGTGCAGCAAGGGCGACGGCCCGAAGACAACGCTGGAGGATCGCAGATCTTCATCGAAATGTGCCGCGGTGGAGTCGGCATCACGGTCCCCTTCGTAATCATACGCACAGGTAGTTAGGCTCGGGTCTCGGCCATCTAGGAGCAGGTGTCCACAATGGCCGGCAAAAGGCCCAAGGTCAGCCGGCCATGTCCATGCACTGTCCTCACTGTGTAAACTGCTGCCGGGTAGATCCCAAGATGTGAGCCCAGCGACTTCAGAAACATATTGCCAGGTAACCTCTGCGGTGCAAGCCCCATAAACCCAGTGCCCTATCCTAATCGCCCAGAGCTTAAAGTCTTGGCGGCAAGGTATGGTGCAATGAGTGCCCATGTGTGGGCATGACAGGTGGAACAAGGTTCCACTGAATTGAAGGCCAGGTGCTGGAGAGCATCCTTGTGCACGGGTGCGCAGAGGGAGCGAGGCGGAGAAGACAGGGGAAGCTGCTGCCGGCCAAATGCGGGGTGCGGTCTGCGTAGCGACATGATGACGTGCTGGGGGAACAATGTTTGGTCCCCGTTGAGGAGCCTCCAAGCTGAGCACATGTAGCGGAGGCTCGGCGTCCCAGGCCAAACTCCAGCCGAAATCATGCGCCCTACCAAAATCAAGTCCCAACTGGTAACTCTGTACTTGGAACCCAGCCTCAGCGCCGGTGGTGATGTTAGCAGAATGGTGCAAGACTTCTGGGTTCCGTGCAAAGGCGGCGGCCCAAAGGCGGCCATATACAGGGTGCCTAGTCAACATGCGGCACGAGGGCGGCTGGGTGCCCAGGGCATCGCACGTACATACGATGGGATTCCCCTCAGAGTCATCAATGTCGGTGAGCACAACCGTGACCGTGCTGTGTCCAGCTCGCGGGAGGCAGAAAAGGTCAACGGCCGGCCGGCGGAGTGGAATTCTATGCAAACCGACCGCTGAACATCGAGCAGAACCCCAGATGCCACAAAGCTCCTGGTGCAGTGAGTGGGCATCAAAAGACCGGGGTACCTGTAAGCAGGTGAGCTGCGAGTCGGCTGTGGTAACATAGACACAGACGCTGGACGCGAGCCATCGAGCTGCAGAGGAGCCAGCAACAGGAATAGAGATCTGACCAACATCTTCTCGAGGCGACTCGTCGTCCTCGTATGCTCTGAGGACATCGCCGTGTCGTACCCCGCGGCCGGGCTGAACCTCTAAACGGAAGGAGATCCCAGGTTCAAGAAGGTTGAGGATGGAAAGCACCGACCGTCCGACTGCATCGGGGGCCACATCAACACAAATGTATCGGCCACCGGTGTCGAGCATGACAGTAAGATGGGTGCGATCCCGGGGTGGTGCAACGAAATGAACACACCTGCGCAGGGGTTGCGGTGACACTAGAACAGCTGGCCCTCGCCCGAGGCGGCCTGTGCATTGCTGGAGCAGCTCTCGGAACTGGTGGAAGGGTCGATTGCCTTGTAGGTAAAAGCGATATTCGCTTGCTGGACTAGCCACCGAGAAACAGAACACCTGTGAATGCGGGCCTGGCGCGCCGCTGGCAGACGCCCAAGAAAGACGCGTGAGGGAATCCGGGTGGGATAGACGAGTTGCCAGTCTCCCATGGGCTTGCACATCTGCTAAGCCTGTAACAGGGGTTATTGCAAGAGTTTCGCTCGGGTCTTGGCTGACTTGGAATGGTACTCCTTCCTGGTACCCGGGTAACACCGCGCCAGCAACCAGGAGACTAGCCCCAAAGAAGAGGCCCGGCGATCTACTTAACCACAAAAGGCAGAATCCATAACCCCAACCTAAATGCCGTCGAGCTGATCCTGAAACATCTAAAGGAGAGGGAACAGCTTCTGTCGATGGAACCTCTTCAGCCGATGGCTCGGGTTCCACGGTAGCGGGATTAAATCCTGCAGCGACGTTAACTCGGCGACGGACAACAACCAGAGGTAAAGGGGGGGCTCCATGCAGTGCGACAAATGGGTTAACGACGCTCTCTCTATGCAAAACCTGAAGCTCCCCTGACATAAGCTGTGAAGTCAAGGGGCGGCGTGTGTCGGGGTCACCTGAGCGACTCACTGCTGCCTGAATGCGCATTGCCGGTGTATCAAAAAGGCTCGCTCCGAAGACATGCAGTTCTCCTCCGAGTGGGCGGAGGTCGACCAAAGCTGGGGGCTGCCCGTCGCGGCACCTCAGGGCCACATATTGCAAAGGAGGCAGATTGTCTAGCGGCGGCAGGACTCGTGCGAAATGCAAAGCGAAAGACGGCCCCCCGGGTACCGCTGTCAGAAAGGCTTGCAAAACCGCAGTCCTTAGGGTAAGATGGTCTGCGAACGAGGGTGCCTGAGTGAACAAAAGACCATTGTCATACAGCACCACAGCATTGTTGCCGTCTGCAGCAAAGTAAGAGGACTCTGCGACGTGTGGTAGTGGCAGGCTCAAAGCGAACCTATCATCTACTGTAGCAGCAGACTGCAGAGAGTCGCCCACAGTGGGCACGAATCCGTCTGGGGGAACAGGCCACACCTGAAAAGCATCGGTTGCAGGCAGCAGGAGCAGAGAGGCGGAAGGCAAGAACCAACCTCGGTTTGTGCGGAGCAACACAGGTTGCTCAGGGGCCAGACCCTGCATACGAAGAGCAGTCCGCACTGTATCGACACACGGGGCATCCCTCCTAGCGGTAACCATTCTAATGGTACCTCCCAAGGGCCTTAAGTCGATCGGGACAACGCAGTCATACCAGGCAAGCCGGCGTGGTGTAAAGACCACAGCCTCAGGCGGCGTCGCGGGGAGTGACTCCTGAAGAGGATGGACACTGCACTCATGTAACTGCAAGCCTAAAGCCGTTGCTAGCATGCTGTGCAACACTGTGCCGTGCGCCCTATCATCTGCGAGAATCAGCAAAGGGGTTTGCGAGCACTCAGCGCAGTAGACTCCGACATCACGGATGGGAAAGGGAGGCGAGGCAATTTGCTCATGCAGGGGCAAGTTGGCTGCTCGGGCGGGCATAAGTGCATCCGTGCTGTCCGTAAGAACGACCCTGCTAGTTGTGTATACTGGCTGTCCATGCCAGCTGCCTTGCTGGAGGATTTGTACTGCAGACACGTGCGGAGTGCAGACCAGCCAAATGCACAAGAGGCCGCGCAGTGGCCGGGCTGAAGGGCGGCCTAACACAGCGTGTCTGTCCTTAGTAGCACGTACGGAGTAGCCGAACCTAACATGCAGAGTGAGGAAGACCTTGGTCGACTGAATCAAGCCGACAGCTAGGCTGAGCGTCCTGACAACATGAAGGCTGGCTCTCAGTACACCTCTCGGAACAAGACAGACACAGTCGACAAGGACTGAGGCAACTATGCCCGGGCGGCGAAGGAGGGCCCCCCATTGAATCCGTCGTGCGAGGAAACTGACTACGAAAATGTATGTACACGCACTACAGAGGACGTATACAAGACGAATACATGTACAAGCCTCTGCCGGGGCGCTCAGATCTCGCCGAAGTCCTCCGCCAATGACGGTGTCACCAAATATGGGCATGGGATGCTCAGGAGTGGCCTCATCGCGTCTGACATCTGGCGTGGAATCATCCCCCGACACTCGCACCCGTGCTCCAGGAGAAGAGAAGGGTACAGCCACTCCTGCGCGGTAGCCGGACCATACTGTTGAAAGTCCAGGATATTCCCCAGAGTCACATGGATTGCTACCAGAACACCCTGCTGTATGCCTGGTAAGGAGCCCGGGCAGAGTCGCAGGCGCTGCAGCAGTTCCTGACAAGATGTCACCATCCCAGGGAACTGTTCGTCCTGGGCCTGCTGCATGAACACCCCCAGCGTTTTCCAGAAAGTCGCTGCTTCTGCCTGGACGTCCTCGATCGCCGTGTCGTCGGTCTGGAGTGGCCACACGGCGTCTTGTTCTGGAGAAGTGTCGAGTTCCCCAATAGGATCGCCACCGTTGGCGACAACATAGGCCACCGCCTGTAGCCAAGCGGTACGCCAGGACACTGGGCCATCGCCAACCCTCTCGCCGCCCCCGTCGGGTATCAGCTCCGCATCGTCCGAAAAGGTGGTGGTAGATGGACGGCGGGTTGCATCTGGAGAGCGACCGGTGGCTTCCATGCACCATGGGCCCGCAGACAGGGTCGGAGCCGGGCCAACGAGGACATCGACGGTCTCCTCGCGGCGAGGGCTCTTGCTGGGACGATGAGGGACGGCCGCTCCTCCCCGTTTCCAGCGACGGTGCCGGACGAGGTCGCCTGCATCTGGAGCAGCACCACCTAACATGGGTGTGCCACCATGTTCCCGCCCGCCGAAGCCTTGCAGCCCAAAAGCTCCAGTGTCTTGGCCTGCACCAGTGGAAAGAGCACCGAAGGCGCTGCTGCCGCCGAGAACTGCAGGAGCCAAGCTCGGAGGGCCAGGGCTGAATCCAGGAGAGGGTGCCCCCATCTGCGAGACCCCGGAACCCAAAGGAGCCGAGATCCCAGGCAGCACCATTTGGCTCTGTACCATGCTGAAAGCTCGGAGTGATGCAGCAATCCGAAGGATCTCGTTCGACTGGGCCTCCGGCCAAATGGGCCCAAGCCGTTGAGAAGCCTGCGCGATCCGCTCTTCTGTAGTCGAAGACGGGAGGTCGGTCAGGTTCTGGCGCATTTCCTGGCAGGCCTGTATAAGGTCCTCGTCTACCTTCGCGCTCAGAGCTTGCACTCGTTGGACCAAACCGACAAGGTGTAGTCCAATGGCACTTGTCCACTCTGAAAGTGCCTTGCTGAGCTCGTCTTTGGCCTTGACGTCTCCCGCGATTCGCTTTGATAGTTTGTGGGATGCCGTCGCCGCCTTGGAGATCTGCTGTTCGACCGACATGTCGATGGCGACAGCTGCAGGGGACGACCACAGATCCTGCGTAGATCTGGCTGTAATTGCCTGAAGAGCCGTCATCATTGCTGCCGGCAACCCAAAATCTATGCGAGAAGCCTGTGCCGAGGCCTCCTGGCCTTTCCCTCTCCCCTTCGCCGAAGCCTTGGCATCCGGCTTCGCTTTCGGTGGCATAGTCCCGTGGTGGTGGGCAAGCAGGCGCAACTCTGCGCGGGTCGCTCGCCCTTGCTTGGCTTTCTTCCGCAGCTTGCGGCGCTGTCGCCGCTCTCGCCTGTGCCACGAAGGACTCGCTGTCCTCGTGGCAAAGAGGGGGGCCGAGATCGGCCCTCGCACTATCCTCAGATGGAGGAACTCCTCCGATCCACAGCAGACCACACCCAATCAGAAAAAGAGGAAGAATAGGTGTGTAACGGCCTCCGCCGCTCATATGAAAGGCCAACAGCCTATTTAAAGGCAGTGTTGGGCAAATGCCAACGCGGACGGCCGAGGCAGCGTACGCGAGGGCAGAAAAGACGTGGAGCCGCCTCCACGTGGCACCGCTTCGGGTGCAAGAAGCTGCCCTCCAGGCAGGCTTCGGCGCTCAACGGCTGCGGTTGAGCTGGGGTCGGGAAAGGCTGGGCAAAAAGAAGCTTGGGCCGCGACGCCTAATCCTTAAACCCCTAAATCCCTAAACCCTATATAAACCCCTAAACCCTAAACCTCTAAATCCCTTAACCTCTCTCATCAGGTGGATACCTGCACTGATTTCGCCTGCGGCCCGGGATGCAAGAAGATGCCTTGGGAGCCGAAGCAGCAGCAGCAGCAGCAGCCGTGGATCTTCGCCTAGGAGAGGGCTTTAGGATTTAGGGTCCACGTTTTTTTTCGGTTACGGCTTAGTAGTTTTGAGATCAGTGTCCCTGAGTGTCCATATATACGATCAGTAAAGACCATCCTGTCATTGACTTTTTTGGGGACCGATATTTCCTATAATAGTAGTATATGTGGACCCTCTCGTCTGCGGGGCTTCTGAAGGGTCCGGACCTCACTGCGAGGAGTCTTCGCGGCGAGCAGCACGCCTTCCCGCCAAAGTCAACTGATGTTCATGCACAGATGTTCTTGGAGGCGCCATGGCAAGTGGCGACATCGCCGATTCCGGATCCATGCACCCTTTGGGATGCCGGGTATGATCTTGTTGCTTCGCGCATGGTCCTTTGCAGTCCTGGTGTTGGGACGGAAGCTCATGACGCAAGATCCAAGGGCTTTTTGTGTCCACCGATCCAGACCGTATTCATACCCAGTGCCGCACAGCTGAAAAATGTGCGCCTGCAAAGCTGTAGAGACGCTGCAAATGCTCTTCATCATCAACTCAGGCCTTAAAGCCTGAACCGAATATGGGCCTAAATAGTTATCAATACTACTTTTTTTTTGGGGGGGTGGGCCCCTTATTATGAGTATGAAATTCTGGGCCCCAGAACCCTATTCGAATTATTAAGGCCCCTGTATTACACCGTTGGTCAAGTTGCATCAAAGCAAGGGGTCAGGATGCCGAAATGTTGGAATCTCACTGTCTTATAAGCACGTGCCCGAGAATATTGGATGGTTCTTGTCTACGTACATCCATAGACACCTACACGGAAGGACCCAAAACTTGAAAGGTCTACAGCCTAAACCCCTCCACCCTCACGCCCCCAATAAAACCCTGCAGCCTAGGACCCGAAGCTTTGAAACCCCTGATGTTCGGCATCCCAAAGCCTCATGGCTTAGAAGCTTCCCCCACCCTGTAATAGTGGTATAATAGGAATATAATGGGGCCCTAATATAATCCTATATAATCCTTATGGTGACTATTACAGGGTGGGGGCCCCTTCTAACTCATCGCCCAAATTTCAATCCGAAGTTGAAGAAGGATGATTAATGTCGGTATTCCCGAAAGTTGACTTGTGGAGGATACAGGCCGTATGCTATACTTTATGTATCCTGTGCCCATGGCCCCATGTGTCCTGAAGCCTAAACCAAACTCTAAACCCTAAGCCCTAGACGCCTTACAACCTAAACTGTCATTGCGAGCATGTCTCTGAGTACAAACATGGGTAGTTCTCTAGATTTGGGCTCTTTGAGGGGGTTTATAGGGTCCTTATCATGCGGGTGCCGGTTCCTGAAAAGCGACGCTGATCTAGAGAACTACCCATGTTGTAAACAGCGTGTGGCACATATACAGGGTTTCCGAGTGGGCCAGCGGTGACTCCCCAAAAGCCTGCATCCTAAACCCCTAAAGCCTTTCGTAAGCCACAAACCCTGAGCCCTCAAACTTAGAAGCCCCTAGCCCCTACCCAGAGGCTTCATAGTAGTTCTTTTTTGGGATTACCTTAGGATTCTATATATATATATATATATATATGAACCCCTAAAAGGAACTACTATGGAGCTTTAGGGTAAAGCCATCTACAGCCCCGCTCCCGGAGCCCACCTACCGTTTCTGACACAGATCCAGAAGTCTCCTGCCCAGCATCGCCCCTTTAGGGCCTTAGGGTACTCTGAGGCCCTGAAACAGAGGCCCTTGAAAAGCCACCGAAGAGAAAGAGCCCTCAGTGGTTCAGGGGTTTGGGGGTTTTGGGTCAGCCAGCCCTGCACCCTAAAAACCCTAAACTTTAAAGCCTTGAGCACCAAAAAAACCCGAGCCCTAAACCTGTTGTTTGGGAGGCTTTCCCTGAAAGCGGGCCTAGTCACCCTGCTCGGCACAGTCCTGACCGTGGCAGGCAGGAGGGCGAGGGTGGTGTAATGTTGATCAGGGTTTACAAGTGTTTCCATACAGGAGCCTCTGAATTTCGTGCTCTTGTTCCGTAGTTATGCCTTTGCAATACCCCAAATATAAGTCCCAAGGGGTGTTTGTGACTTCTCCCGTTTTGTTTCTACGCACAAAAGCTCATGATGACAGCTTCAGAAAGTATGGGCCCTACTACAACGACTCGAAGAAAGCTTGGGGGCAGAAGAGAGTATGGATCGGCCGAGGAACCCTACAATCACTCCGACCCTAAACCCATAACCCTAAACCCTAAACCCAAACCCTAAAGCCATGAACCCTAAACCCTAGGCCCTAAACCCTACACCCATAAACCCTAACCCTAAATGGCCCGTAGGCTAAACAAGCATTCCCCTAGGGCCCATGTACCCGACAAAGTATTATTTTGGCCTGAACGTCGTAGTCCCTATATAGGTACTTTAGGGCCAAAGTATCTACGATATTTGGGTGCATGGACCCTTACTTAGACGATTTGGTATGACGATAACACATACTGTAGTGGTACAGCTGCAAGATGAGAAGCACAACCACTCATGACAGCAGAAAATCGACGTTCACGAGAATGACACTTGCGACGTGTTTTCGTGTTGTTACGCATCCACGACATTCATACATGACTCATGACACACCAAGTAAATATACAATCATGAGAGAACAGATTGTTGTTGTTGTTGCAGCAGCAGCAGCAGCAGCAGCAGCAGCAGCAGCAGCAGCAGCACCAGGAACACCAGTCGGAGTAGCCGTAGCAGCAGCAGTAGCGGCAGCAGTAGCAGTTGCAGTAAAAGTAGTAGCAGTAGCAGCAGGTGCAGGAGCAGCAGGTGCAGGAGCAGCAGGAGCAGGAGCAGTAGGAGCAGCAGTAGCAGAGCAGTAGCAGTTGCAGGAGCAGGAGCAGGAGCAGCAGGAGCAGGAGCAAGAGTAGGAGCAGTAGCAGCAGTAGCAGCAGTAGCAGCAGTAGCAGCAGTAGCAGCAGTAGCAGTAGCAGCCGTGGCCGGATCAGAAACGGCAGCAGCAGCAGTCGCCGTGCCGTTGCAGCCGTTGTCGCAGTCACAGTCGTAGTCGTAGCCGTCGTATTGATTTAGTCGTAGTAGTAGCCGTAGCAATGGCCATCGTAGTAGTCGCACCTGCAGTCAGAGCAGCTGCAGCACCAGCAGCAGTAGCAGAAGTGCCAGAAGTTCGAGTACATAGGAAAAGGATAAGGACATGAGTTTTTAGCTAGTTTCAGTAGGAATATAGTGATCGCAGCAATAGCAGCAGGAACCACCCGGGCTCTGGAGTAACAGTCTCGAATTATCATTTTGTTCCTGAAGGAACCATTATGAAAAGCAAATGTCTACACTATACACTTGTTTCTCCCTGGTTACTCAAAGCCCAGCCACGGCACCAGGTGTCTCATGCCTTTCACGCACATCGGTTCCCGCAGACAGCTCGATGACCAGCCTGTCGCTGAGCTGTTCCACGAGTTTTCCTTAGCAGGAAATCTTAGGATCGCAAGGTCCTGATAAGTTCGTGGTATGTGAGGTCTAGCGCAGGATTGCTGTAAGCGCACTATAATATTTGATGATTACTATCAGCGCACTCTGAGGATTACTATCAGGGCAGTTCGGCTGGATGTGGCCCGGCAACTTAGAGCACCCAACCGTCAGCTGAGCTCTAAACCGTAACCGAAGCCATAATTCTCTGAGCTGTATAGTTCCGAAGCGGTATTCTCCGAAACCTGCTCACCAGCCAGCCGCTTTTGCTCGAGCAAGAGGCTTTTGCAGACTGCTCGTCCGTTTCCCCATCGACAATGAGAGACTTGTCTCAGAAGCTTCTGGCTCAAGTTCCGATAGCCATCTCGGGCCGATCTTGCCATGAAATCCCGACGTAGACCCGGGAAGGGATCTGCAAGCTATCAGGTCAAACGTTGGAGCCATCCCATCGAGGGGACTGAACAAACATAACTTTTGAAAGCGACGACCCTGTAGGTCTATGCTTTGGCAACTTAGAATCAATAAGTCTTTACCAAGCAACCCAGCCCGGCATTGAACACGAAATATACCACATAGTAACGCTGGACATCTTGCCATGCGAACACATGCTCTGATCTGCAACCAGTGAGGCCCGGATGGGGTTTGACAGGGCTGCTGCACTGTCGCTTTCCTCGACACTGGACCCTTCGCGCATACGACGAACATCAGGTCTAGTCTAGCTGTCAAGCATGTCACAAGTCAAGTAAAGCGAAGCTGAAGCGCCCCAAGCTGTAGGGGCCCAAGCTAAACATCCGACAGCCCGAACTGCTGACAACATACTGCAAAGCTAGACCCCAAATTCGAGAACACTGACCTGCTGTCTCCCAATCCATTGCACATCTTGTTCTGCTTGGAAGGGCAGGGGACTTAGTAAGTCGTTTATAAGTAGTGTTATAATTGGGGTAACTCCATTTGGGGTACTTATAACTCTGCTTATAACCTACTTGCTAAGTCCCCTGCCCCTCCAAGTGGGTTCTCTGCTCCGAAATTTGCTGACCTCGCCTAGGGGCCCTAAACCCTAAACCTACCCTAAACCTCACAACTTGAAAACCTAACTCCTTTTCTCAAGAAATCAGCTTCCAACAGCAGCATAGAAGATTTTGTAGAACCTCTTTCCATCGTCCCCCTCTGAGGCCAAAGTGTACAATGTATACATACATGGACCCTTTATGGCAACTTTTCTATGGTTGTGGGACCACAGATCACAATTGCAGGAGACGGATTTAGCACTAGGTGAGAAGTTGGATTCTGGTTTAATCTAACTCCGCGCACTAGATGATGTTCCTTGTCAGACTTTGTCAACAACCACTAAACCCTAAGATCTTCAGAGCCTAAACCCCCAAAACCTCAAGCCCTCTAGTCTAGAATCCTATTTCTGATCCTGCAAGTATAGTTTGGGGAAGCCCTAAACCCTGAACACTCCCCTAAACCCTCAACCCTGGAACCCCAAATAACCCTAAGCTCTAGAACCCTAAAACCCCAAGGCTTAAAACTCTAAACCCTAAGCCCTGAAAATCTTTGAGCCGCTTTGGGAGACCTTCAGGCAGATCGAAAAGAGACCTTGTTTGAAAGAAAGCAAACAAAGCAAGCCCCTGAACCCTGAACCCTGAACCCTAAAACCCTAAAGCCCTAAACCCTAAGCGCCCCAAGCCCTATAAGCCCCTCATAAACCCTAATGCCTTAAAGCCCTAAGGCCCTTTTCCCTAAAGCTCTAAACCCTGCGCCAGGCCATGGGCGAGGAATCTCTGTCGGCGGTTGCCAATCCCATCTTCAAGGCTGACAGCCCTAAGAATCCATGTACCCATATAGTAGGTACTTCGGCCTTAAAGGGGTCCCTATATGGGTACTTTAAGGCCTAAGTATCTACTATATGGGTACATGGAGCCTTTGGGAAAGGGATGTTCAAGGGAGGATTTAGGGTTCAGGAGTTTAGGAGTTTAGGATGGGTTTAAGGTTTCATGAGGGGGTTTTGGGGGGTGGTATAGGACTTTATGCAGGATCTTGGTTTACAGTGTCGTGAAAGGGATTTGGGTGTGCATTGGGCTTTTTTCGCTGGTTTTATGCACGGGGTTTGGGGCGTTGAGGGTTGGTTGAATGGTGCTGCTTTTGTTGACGGTGTTTTATAAGGGGTTTGGTTGCACATAGCTTTGGTTTGGGTAGGTATCTTGGTGAGTGCATCGCTGCTCAAGAACAGCTCTGAGTGTACGTTCGGGGACCTGGGGCATAGCCAAACCCTTAACCCTCCGCCTGAACCCTTGTCAATTTACACGCGCCCCCACAGCTACATCAGTGCGACAAGTCCTCTGCCCTGCGTCATAGGGGTGTTAAAGGCTCCAAAGTAGCCACAAACTTGATACCTGCATATAGGATAGTAGTTAAGTAGAATAGTAGTTTGAGGGTGCATGTGATGATCAGGTATAAAGCCGCAACCCTCCGCACACTAGCATCCAGACCCCTGAACCCTAAGCCCTGCATCGTAAGCCCTAAACCCTAATTGCAGTTCGGGCATAGTGTGGCTCTGGCAGTTCATCTTTGTCCAAACCGTGGTCCAAACCCATTTCAAATCCAAGCCCGACCACGGCAGCACAGCGGTACTTCAGGGGTCTTAATAGTTAGAGTAGCATTGAGTAGCATTGTAGAGTATATTATACGATTGTAACAATGAGGAACCCCGAGACCGTATTGATACTGTTGATGATATAAATCCTGCATGACCCATAATAAGGAATATACCATAATTCCCATAGTCTAGGGTCATTAAGGTAATGCAGGATTTATATCATCAACCGTATCAATAAACTTCGAGGAGGTCCCTGAAGGGAACTCACGCACAAACTTAGCCCCCCCAAACTGCCCGGTACCCGAAACCTTTGAGTTACCTCCAACCTGGGGGCACCAAACGACCCTTATGAGTGGGGCCCGATACCCTCATACTATTGCCGAACCCTAAACTTCCCGCCCGAAACCCTATTGTGGTAATTGAACCTTGAGCAACTTGAGCCCTTTTATCGAAACATGTCGCGCCGCCGGTAAGTGTCAGGCAATCGAGTCGAACCTGGGCCATGCCCAGAACACGACGCTAGCACCGACAGTGCCTCCAGAGGTACCAGGGTGCACATACCTTAGGGCTCGTTTCAGGGTGCCGCAAGCTCGGGGTTAGGGTATAAGGGTCCATCTAAGTATATACTTAGGCCTTACAGTGCATATACAGGAAGCCCTTCAATGCCTAAGTACAAACTATGCAGGTACATGGAGCCTTATACGCTAAACTCTTATGGTACCCTTGTAACAGAACCCTTAAAGGGCACGTCTGATGCCAAACCTTGAATCCCAAGCATTTGCATCATTTGTCCCAGCCACTTAAGGGCGTTCAATCGTTCAATAACCCCGTTAAGGCGGAAGGCCCACGGCACTAAACCCCACCTGAGTAAACCAATGCACCTTCGAATGTGGGTCATGATCCCGAAAGATGTTGGTACAGTCACCTTGTTGACGGTACCTTGGCTACTCCAGGTACACCTAGCCCAAGTCTACATTGTTGTCACGACTATGTATGTAATCGTCATGCTGTTCCCGGCTGTATGCGTTCGCAGTTTCTGTAGCTGTTACAGACCAGAAACCTCAATCCCTACATTCAAACCGACAGCATATTACATCAACCGATCCTACCCGTTCAGGGTCCGAACAAACACCTTACAATTAATGTCGAGTGAAAGGGAGCCCGCAAAATAGTAGGTCACGCTTGGTTCGGGTGCACTCCAGCCCAACACGCAAAGACTGGCATTTGGCCTGCAGATCCACACGAACTTCAAATTTCCAACGATTCCATATGGAGCCCTGCACCCAGAAAGGATCACCTTGTTATAGGTTTTCAGGAATCAATTAGGGTTCAGGGTGTCGGGCTGCAGGAATGTTGGGGTTAGGGTTAGGGGGTGTCTAGCTCTTACACGAAGATGGTCTTGCAGTTTGCTACCTACCTGAAGGTTCATTGAACTTGAGTGGTAAGTAGAGATCTCATGGGTCCTAGGAGGTTTCGTAGGTTTATTGACTTGGTTGGTGTTTAGATCAATAGAGGTCCAAGGAGTGTCAAAACAAAATCGAGAGGTCTGCTTGACATGCAAGAGTAGTCGTGAAGGATGATGCTTGTTTGCCTGCCGCTGCGCTCTTGACGACTTCTGCAGCAGGCTTGTGTGTTTGCTTCGTTCTTGAAGTGGGGATTATGGACCCGGAACATAACAGTGGTCATGGTCACCGACCATCCGTGGCAACTTCTCACGATGAATGCACCCTAAACACAAACACCCCAACACCTTACAAATTCTTGCCCCCAGGCCCTCACAGCCCAAACCATAAGCCCATACCCGCAAAGCTCCGAATTAACTAACGAGCTGAAACGACTCACCGCATGCTTTCAGCAAAGTCAGGGCCGAAAGCTCATCATGCCTCAGGTCCCTTTGCAGGGGCCTGAAAACTTTGTTTGGTATTCCTACTGAGTTTAGGATCGGGGTTCCCCGAACACGAATATCCCCAACACCTTGCTCGAATTCTTCCGAGCCCTGCATTTAGCCCTAGACTACCGGCCCGAAGCCCTTCGCCACATATAATTACACCACAGATAGCCGGTGAGGCTGAGACCACCATCATTCCAGTGGCGATTCCGGTATTCAGGCACGGCTGCTGTTAAGCCTTAAACCTCACACCCTGAGCCCTCAACCCTTAAACCCTACACCCTGAAGCTTAGGCGGTGCAAGCCGCGGCAGTGCGCGAAGCCTCCCTGCGTCCTCCAGGATCCCTCAGTTAAGATATTCTGCGCCTATGTTTGGCGATGGGACCCCCAAGCGCCTCGCAACTCCAGTCAAGCGAGACACGAATAGCAGCAGAGGGCCTCTCTGTGGTCAGAACTAGATTAACTAGATCGGCTGCAAGCCCGGGAGGCCGGGGTGACGGGGTGATGAAGCAGTCAACAGCAGTGAGCCATCATCCCAATGGTCATCAAAGCATGGCGCAGGCGACCCAAGCAGAGGTGCAGGGACAACTCAGAGCGGGGCTCAAGCAGCAGGTGCTGTCAAGATTTCGAGACGAGACTTCCAGCTAGCGAGCAGAACATCGCTTTCGAGGAGAACATGAAATTCCAGGAGAGCTTGAAGCAGACTCCTGTTCCGCGTTTGTTGCAAATACCTTTGAGTTCCTACCCTTTTACCCCGTATCCAGCAGACTGTACATGATGTAAGAATAGCTCTGCTTCTTGCGGTCTATGTTATGCGCCACGATCCTGGATGTGAGCACTGTTTCTTCCGGGCCTGGCGGTTTCGTAGCATAGAGGCCTGAGTGGTTTGCAATACAGCTAGCACTATCCCCTCGTATTACGCCCCTGTGTCATTACATACGGTAGTCTACCACCCAAAACCCGATTGCGATCGTTGCGGCCCATGTGTAAAGCCGATCGAACATGACCAATACCTGGCTCCACTGTGCACAAATCTCGGGGCATCTGAACCTGAGCAGCTTGCTCGAACAGTACGGGGGAAATCACTTACAATCAGACAGACTAGAGTTTATTAAATCTTCAATTCCTAGACCCCCCCCCAACTGCCCTTGAATGTAAACCAAATATCTACTATTAAAGGTCATGGGGGCTCCTTCAAAGGGGGGTCCTGGTTTAGGGTTCTGCAAGGGTTACTGTAGGGGTTGCACTGACGAGCCAGACCTCCACAGTATAGGATCTAGGAGATTTTTCAGGGGGCAGGGTTTGATGTTGGGTATTAGTATTAGGGTTTAAAGTTGAAAGCTTACATCTAAATGTCGCATTCGTGGTATCTGATCGGAAATTGGTTGCATCCAAGTAAAGCAGATAGTAATAGCCTCAGCTGTATAGTATCTCTACTTCTGCACCTGATGCCCGATCGAGAGTGTAGGGTTTGAGTGCTAAACCTAAGGCTCCATGTACCCATATAGTATATGCTTTGGCCTTAAAGTGCCTATATGGGGAGGTCCCTAAACCCTAACCCTTAAACCTTATAAGCCCTAAACCCTGAGCCCTAACCCTAAACCCTGAGCCTCCTGAGCCCTAATGTTGCAAGTCACCCCAGGCATGGTAAGAAGGAGGCAGCAGTGCAGAAACTGGAGGCTCCGGTGCATCTGGGTAGTTCCAAATTATAGGGCCGGTTTTTAGTTCCCAAAATACAACAAAGACCCCAAAAGGGACCCTAACCCACAGAATTACCCATCTGCCGTTGTGTTTTACTTGTGGTTCAGGGTGTAGGTTTCAGGGTTGCCTGGTCCAGAGTTGAGATGGGGGAAGTCCTGTAGTTGATAGTGGCCCTGATGAGGCATAACATCCATGATGTGAGGCTTTGAGAGTATTCTTGACGATTCTTCTTGTTTTTCTTTACTTCATGATTATTGTTATTGATATTATCAGTATTGTTATAAGTACCGGTAGTCTTATTCTTGTTTCCTGTCACCACTGTTATTGCGATGTTTGCTACTGTCTGCTTCTTCCCCTTGGGGCTCAAAGCTGCGGAGGTCGCCGGAGTGGGTTCCAGGGTTTTCAGGGTGACGTGGCCGTACCGACACAGGAGCTCCGCTAACTAATTGTTATAGCATGTGTATAAACAGGTTCAAAAATTGTTTAATTTAATATAGATACATATATGGTTATCTCCCTCTCTCTCTCTCTCTCTCTCTCTCTCTCTCTCTCTCTCTCTCTCTCCATATATATATATATATATATATATATATATATTTTTTTTTTTTTTCGCATTTCCGTGCTTTCAGTGGTCGTCCGCTGCCTAATTATTGTTGCACAAAACCCGGAAAGGTCGAAAAGGTTTCGACACCGGGTGATTCCAGAACGTTGCTGGTGCGATCAATCGTGGGATCCGTCCTTTCAGAAACTCAGCCCACAACACCTGCAACTGCTCTGGAAGAAGCAAAATAGGGTTCAATGTCACGGCTGCGTTAATCGACTCACCCCTACAACGACACCACGCAGCTTTCCAGCTATCGTGCAGGGTAAACAGTGAGCCGGGTTGGGTCACGTGACTGGACTGGGAGCGCTGAATCGCAGCATCCCAGTCAAATGAAGAAACTATATTTTCAAACTCCACTCTTGTACACTTGCAGTCACTACACGTCTGCTTTGTAGAGGTGGTAGTTCTTGGAGTCAAGCTGTCCCGAAGAGCTTGGACAATGGCAGCAAACTCCACATCTGACCATTGCCCAAGATCCTTGTCAGAATGAATTTCCACGACCTCGCTGATCAGGAACTCAATCACCTGCTGGAACTCCTCTGGGAACAATGGGTGCTTCTCAATGGCTCGTCGCACTCGGTCCTCCAAACTGCTCGGACTGGGGTCATCGAGGATCAAATCACAGAGGCCCAGGTGTGCCTCGTTCTGCCACACGCTCCACTGTGACTCCTCTGTTTCCTCCGCGATGGCCTTGCCGATGGAGGGAGCGGCCGGCGTGTAGTTCTCAATCTCGTTGTGTCGCCGCTTCTTACTTCCATATCCAGGGTGTAATACCTCTTTGGCACACCGGGTGCGTTTGAGAACATGTAGACACTTTGCAGATGCACGTAGGTGATCTTCCAGGCGTCCCGTCGTCCAGAAGTTTTTCTGGCATGCTCCACAAACAGTGCCATCAATGTAGCGTCTGTACTCAGCACACCGTCCATGCACCTTGAAAAGGTGAACGGCTAAGCCAGCTCGCTTGGCGAATGCCAATTATCGCACTGCCGGCAGAGCCACTCCACAGGGGTGGTCTTGGTCTCGGGCACTACATCGAGCGTCCGGTGTAGTCGCCAGTGGCACACATCAACCGCAGCCTGCTCCTTGTAGGCCACAAAGTCTTCGCCAAGTCGCTTTCGGACCAGGCGCTTGATCCGCTCAGGCTGTTCTCTGAACACTCGCCACCATGCGGGCCATTCCTGAACCGTAACACTGGGCCAGTCTTGTGCATGTCCTTTTACCAGCCAGTGCAGGTCATCAACGATCACCGCTCTCCAAGTACCTTCGCCCTGTATCATCGCCCATAGGGGCGCAGGCCCATTTCGAGCAAGGGCACTGAGGGTCGATAGTCGCGATCTCCTTGCAAAGAATTCCAAAGGCCAGCACCCCGTGGCCCAATGGACAAAGGGGATCGGGATCTTCCAAACCTCCTCTATCGGCTTGAGGCGGCAAAGAAGGCGCCTCACAATTCTAGAAAATCCATCGCAAAGCTGTCCCCATACTTTACCACTTGGTATCCACAACTCCAAATTGTGGTAGGTGGACACAACCGCGCTCTGGAAGAGGGCCGTGCGAGTCGAAAGCTGCAGGCTGCGGTTTTGCAGCAGTAGGTGTTTGGCCGCCTCATACGCCGCACTGGCGAGCGCAGTGCGGTGTCTCTGCTCCTGGCGAAGGGAAGCCCGAGCATCCAAACTGGCTCCGAGATGCTTGTAGAACGGGACAATGTGGATGTACTCATTCAACTCGGGCAAGTAGAGTTTGGACACACCATCCGCAAAGAAATCCCTGCGGGCCTTGCCCGCACCAGGACCACGAAGGCTCAGAATCATACTGGTTTTGTGCCTTTTCAGGTTGGGGTCAAGGCCGTGGGTGCGAAAGACCGAGAGGACGATCGTAGTGACTCTCCTCGCCTTCTGCAGTAATGCCATAGTGTTGTCTCCCTCCAAGACATAGGCAGAGTCGTCTGCCCATGTGGAGTCCATCATGGCCTCCGGACTGCCCTCGCTGCCATCACCAAAGGGTCCGACAGAGGGGTCGTAAGGCATCTGCAGATCGATCTCCTCCCCAACCAGACATTCCTGGATACGGTGTAAGATCCTGGAATAAAGGAATGCAAAGATGCAGTCCGCCCACGAGGCGCCAGGTCGGGAGCCAGCCGCTGCTTCGCAGACCTTATTTCCGTCCGCAAACCGTGTGCAAAACCAGGTGAATCTGTGGAAGTCCCGGATCGCAGTTTGGACCGGGTCCGAGACCGATGCATGTTGGAGCATCCCTCCTTCTTGAATGAGTTGCCTCATCTCCTCAATGTCTTCCCCATCAAGCCCGAATCTGTGGAAGAGTTGCTCAACACCCTTGTCTGTTCTGAGGTCCCCGACAATGAGCTCTCTAACAATACGGTAGTAAGCAGCTCTGGTATCAATGAACAAGACAGCGGCATTCTTGCCCTGGGAGGCGCATTTTCTGAGGTGCTGCACTACATAGAGGGACGGGTACATCACCGGCATTCCAGCCCTGGAGCCACAATGTAGTGGGTGTAGGATCCCCTGGAAGGCTCCCTCTACCTTCCTTCTCATCGCCCGATGTAGCGCTTTGCCCGCAAAGCTGGACACATATAGGCTCCGATGGTTCTCCGGAGGCACTGTTGTCCACTTTGTTTGAAGGCCTCATAGAGGATGCCCCCTCTCCACTGTATTGGCTGCCGTCCATTTAGAAGGGCTTTGATGTAGAGGGGATGGAGTAGGGCTGCGAGTGCTGCTGGGCACTTTCGAAAGATATCACTGGGAAGCTGATCCAATCCAGGGGACTTGCCAGCCTTAAGGTTGGTGTCCCTGAAAACCGCCTCAATGTCCCTGACAGTAGGCAAGTCAGGCCATTGCCACTCCATGCATCTCTCTTCACACCATCTGCTGGACTTCAGAAGGAATTGTTCGGTACTCATCACCGTTCCTGCTTCCTGCTCCCCAAAGTGCTCCAGCCAGATATCATCACGGTCAGCAGCATTCTGTGCTTCGTGGTCACCGCGTTTGTTGAGGAGGCGCGGTAAAGCACGACCAAAAGGCCGTTTGGATCTGGCTCCCATGCCAGCCTTCTTGGCTCTTTGCATCACCGCCGCCGCACTCTGATGGCCTTCCTTGGCCACACTTTGCAGGAATGCATCCTTGGCGCTTGCAATGAGTCGCCTGATACGACCAGTGGCATACCTGATCGCAGCAGCAATGATCTCATACAGGAGCCCCTGTTTACGGCAACTATGCTGTTGGTCAAGGGGTTCGGCCGCCTTCCACGCCAGAAAGGCGTGCTCCCGTAGGCGAGCCCACAAGGTTCTTCTTTGTCGGGTTCTCCATCGTAGAAGATTTTTCTTCTGGCGTAGGCTCCAAACCTCATCAGGAATGAAAGAAGCCCGTCCAAAAGCTTGAGGTTGGCCACAATGCTGGTGCAAAGCGTTGGTGATGTGCTGTTGGAGGAGATGGTAGTGCTGATCAGGGTGCACATCCCATTGTGGCTGGACAAAGTCTCCACAGGCCTCAAGGAAAAGTTGGCGTCCCTCATCCGTGTCGAGCTTCTCAATGTTGAACTTGGTCCTGACGAGTCTTGGGCGGTCTCCACCCCCAGGTAGAAGTCCTTGCATTTCCAGAACTGCTGCACGGTGATCATCATTTGGGCTGCCATTGTCAATGGAGGCACTGGTACTACTAACAGCCTCTGTGATCCGAGCACGGCCTCCCAATCCCAAGTAATCAATGCGGCTTTCTTGTCCCAGTAAGTGGGTAAAAGTCGCAGTGGGTCCTTCATGAAGCTCGGAAAATGTGGCTGGGATCCAGGCCCCACAATTGCCAAAGATCTCAGCAAGCTTCACCCCTGCAACGTCCGGGTCCCCATGGCGTAGGTCTCCAGTCACATGTGGCACCTCCGGAGGGACCCGGCCATTCAAGTCCAAGCCACATACGAAGAGGGCAACATTGCGGAGCCGCTCACAAACCTCAGAGAGACGCTGCAAAAAGTCGTCTCGCTCCTTTGGCTTGGTGGAATGTGGGCAATGTCCCGACACAAGTCCAATTCTATCCTTTCCACAGGCAATCACCAATGCAATCATCCTGGGTTCCTCATGTATCATCATGATGTTCTCTTCCTGGGGCCGATGCTCCTTTCCATTCACCCGGAGGTAGCCACCGCTTCTTCGCAACCACACCGCCACGCCCCAGTGCTTCGCCGCATCCGTGGCCAAGCGGTAGTAGTGTTTGCCACAACAGTAGCCGCCACCTTGCTTGGTTTCCTGGAGGAAGGCAACATCAATTTGCTGTTCCAGGAGTTGTTCTTCCATGTACTGGTGTAGGCCACCCAGTCCTTGGACATTCAAAGTACAGACACGAAGATGGAAATGGCGCAACTCCTCAT